AACTATGGTTATGGAAAAAGAACCAAATACAAATAAGAAGGTAGCAGCAACCACTGGTTTTTTTTATGGGACAGCTCATAAGATTCGTATCCATCTATTATGCGCCCCTTTATCTAGCTTTGGGTAGACCTCATACAATAACTGTCCTTGCTTTACCTTATCTTTTGATTCAGCTTTTCTTGAACACTGAAAAAAAAATTTTTGCTTATGGATCTAATAACCAAAATTCAATCCGTGATCTAGAGAATATCTTTGTATTCCTCAATCATCTTATTTTTCAGTTGCTTAACATTTGTATTTTACCAAGTTCAACGTTAGCCCGATTAGTAAGCATTTATCTGTTTCGCTGTAACAATAAGATGTTGTTTGTAATAAGCAGTTTTTTTGCTTGGGGAATTGGACAAATTTTAGTCATCAATTGCTTGGAATTTTTAGTAGTCTGGATACAGAAAAATTTAGTAATCTGGATACATAAAAATAATGTTATTAGAAAGTACCTAGTCAGAAATTCTATCTTTTTTATTTTACTAAATTGTAGTTTTGGAAGTATAGTATGTATTCTAAGTATTCAGTCTTTAGGCAGAACACCCTTACCTATTCCTACTCAGAAATTTAGTGAGGTCTCAAAAATAGAACAAAGGGAAAAGGAAAGGTTGCAAAAGGAGGAAGAAAAAGACGTAGAAAAAAAAAAGAAATCCACTGAAGAAGATCCTTCCCTTTTTTCCGAAGAAAAGGGTATTTTGGAAAAAGAATTGGACTTGAAAGTAAACGAACCGGACTTGGAAGGATCTGATTCTGAATTGGAAATCCTTGAAAAATATGAAAATAAAGAACATATTGTGGCTCTTCTTTTTGATTATAAAAGATGGACTCGGCCATTTCGCTACATAAAAAATAATAGACTTGAACAAGCGGTAAGAAACGAAATGGCACAATATTTCTTTGACATACATAAAAGTGATGGAAAAGATAGAATATCTTTTACCCATCCGATAAGTTTATCAACGTTTTTTCAAATAATCAAAAAAAAGATACCCCTTTTATCATTAGAAAAAGATATTTCTAATAAATTGGACAATTTTTGGGTTTCTAGAAACAAACAAAAATTAAATTCTATAAAAATTGATTTGTTAAATCGAATTAAAAATCTTGACAAACCAGTATCAGTCCCAATACTAGAAATTGAAACAACCAAAACGCGATTATGTATACACAATGATGAGACTAGAAAAGAATACTTACCAGAAGAGTATGATCCCTTGTTAAATGGGCCTTCCCGCGGAAGACTAAAAAAAGATATAACGTTGATAAACGAGACTTCGATCAAAAAGTTGAGAGAGAAGGTTATGCTAAATAGACTTCATGCTTTATTGTTGATGTCTCCTTTTGAAAAAAAGGAAAAAAAACCATTACAAGTTGGTGAGTTCTCAACTTTATCATCGAGTTTCAATTTAACGGATTCAGAACAACTAACAAAATTTTTAGTAAATGTAATTGAGACAGACGATAAAAAATATTCTGCAATAGAAAAAATAGGTAAAGAAGAGATTGGTAAAAAAGTCCCCGGATGGTCATACAAATTAATAACTGAATTGGAACAAATATCGTATTTTAGAAATCCACCAGATGATCATGATATTCGTTCAAGAAAAGGGATAAGTGTATTAATTTTTGAAGAGCCTAAGACTCTCAAAGATAAGACTACAAACAAAGATAAGAATACAAAAGAGACAAATATTCAAGCTATAAAATCCGACAATGATGAGAAAGATAAAAATATGAAAAAGAAAAAGGAAGATGAGGATAATAAGCTTTATTTGTTACGATATCCGCACCAATCTGATTTTCGCCAAGGCTTAATAAAAGACTCTATGCGAACTCAAAGACGTAAAATAGTTATTGAGGGACTTTTTAAAGCAAATGCGCATTCCCCTCTCTTTTTTGACAGGATGAGGAAAAAAAACCTTTTTTTCTATACCATACCTGGCTCAACTGAAACGACTTTTTATAAAATGGTCATCCAGAAACGAGTTCGGTATTTTAGAGTCTACAGAGGAAAAAAAAACAATAATAAAAAGAGAAACCAAAAAGGAAAAGAAACGACGAGAGGAAATAGAACGGTTAGAGATAGGGGAAGCCTGGGAAACTTTCCCATATACCCAAATAATAAGAGGTTTGTTATTAATAACCCAATCAATTCTGAGAAAAAAAATTCTATTACCTTCATTCATAATCGGGAAAAATATAGGGCGTATGCTACTATTTCAAACTCCTGAATGGTCTGAAGATTTAAAGGGATGGAATAAAGAAACGCATGTGAAGTGTACTTATAATGGTATTCCGTTAGCTGACAAAAAATTTCCGGAAAATTGGTTGACAGAAGGTATTCAAATCAAAATTTTATTTCCTTTCTGTCTAAAACCTTGGCACGAATATAAATCACTAACTTCTCGTGATGACTTTTGTTTTTTAACAGTTTGGGGAAGGGAAACAGAACACCCTTTTGGTCATCCACGACAAACACCTTCGTTTTTCGAGCCTGTTTTTAAGGAACTTTACAAATTTGTAAAAGTAAAAATCAAATTTTTAAAAAAGTTTTCAAAAAAAAAAACAAGTTCAAACGAAAAAAGAACAATACACCCGAGTTTAATAAAAAAAGAAAAAGATGATCAAATAAATAACCAGATAATGAATCAACCCTTGAGTAAAATTGAAAAAATTACAGATTGGAAAAATTATTCACCGATAGACAAAATACAGGCTATTACTCATAGGACAAATACAATTAAAAAAAAACTAGAAAGAATTACGGAAGATAAGAAAAGGCTGACTCTAGAACTAGATATGAGCCCTTACAAAAAAAGTTCGAGATTAGCCTTGTCAAAAAATTTTTGTCAAATGTTAAAAATAAAAAAAAATAGATTAAGATATAAATTTCATTATTTTATAAAATTATTGATTCAAAGAATATCTAACTATATTTTTTTATATACTATATCTATTTGCCAAATGACTGAAAAACTCTTTGTGGAATCAACAAAAATGAACTCTCTTTCAAATATAAAAACGCATAATAATAAGCGTTATAAGGAAAAGCCAGAGAATTTTGGTGATTTATCTAACTTGTCACAAGCATATGTATTGTACAAAATATCACAAAGGAGTTTTTTGAACGTATCTAATTTGATGTCTGTTCTTCAACAAAATGGAACATCTTTCTTGATTGAAAAGAATTTCTTTATTAAAAAAAAAATAAAAGACTCATTTCATAAACAAGGAATACTTCAATCTGAAGGAATAAAAAAAGAACTTAAGCGGTCTAGAACGAGTCAATGGAAATTTTGGTTAAGAGGGAATTCTCAATACGATTTATCTCCTAATTTCTGGTCTGCCTTAAGATCACAAAAACAAAAATGGAGAAATAGGGCGAATCGCTATCGTAGGTCTAAACAAAAAGATTTACACAAAAGGAATTCCAGTAGAAAATTAAAATTAAATAATTACAGGAAACAAAAGGATGCTAACTCAGTATTTAATAAAAAAAAAAAAGATAATTTTAAAAAATGCTGTCAATATGATCTTTTAGCATATCAATACATTCAGTATGAAAAAAATAGTGGACCCCCTCCAGGAGCTAAACGGGAAACGATTTCTTATCATTACAAGATGTCACAAAACAACTTGTTTGCGATAACGAAAAATCTTCCTATCACTAGTTTCAGAGAAAAAATAGAAAGGGTCAATATCCCCTATACAGACAAAAATTTAGAGAGAAAATATTTAAATTTGAAAAAGATTAATTTTTCTCTTGATAAAAAAGCGGATATTGAGTCCTGGATCACGGGTAATGATAACAATACTCAAAGTACTCCAATTTTCACTTATAATTATCAATTAATTGATAGAATGGAAGAGATTGTGAAAATTGAGCAAATTTTTAAAAATGAAAAAGATCCTTTTGCTCTTTTGATTCAGACAAATACCGAAGAAAGGAATCTAGTAAATTCTAAAAATTCTTTATTGGATTGGATGGGACTGAATGAAGCAATACTCGACCGTCCATTAACGGCTGAGGAACTTTCGGTCTTCCCAGAATTTCTGTGGTTTGTTAATATATATAAAATGAAACCATGGATTATACCAAGCCAATCACTTATTTCTAATTTGAATCTCAATGATGAAATGACGAATCAAAAGATCGGTAAAATTAAGAATAAAAACAAAGATAAAAAGGATAAAAAGAAAACTGAGGGTGAAACCAAAGGTAAAACTGAGAGTAAAAAAAAAGATAAAGCCGAGGGTCAAACCAAAGGGGAAACTAAAGGTGAAACCAAAGGTGAAACCAAAGGTGAAACCAAAGGTGAAACCAAAGGGAAAACTGAAGGTGAAACCAAAGGTGAAACTGAAGGGGAAACCCAGGGGGAAACTGAAGGGGAAACTGAAGGTGAAAAGAAAAGTCAAACTGAGATAGAACTAGAGTTATTCCTGAAAAATTATTTATTTTTTCAATTTAGAGAGGATGAGGATGTTACTTTTAATCAAGGCCTTTTCCAAGATCTCCAGATCTATTGTCTCTTGCTTAGAATGCTAAATCGAAAAAAAAATGATGCTATCATGGATTCAAAGGGAAAAGTTAAATTTGGGTCTAATGCCACAGATGAATCAGGAAGAGAGTATTCAAGATTCAAAAAATTCAAAAAGAAATGTTCCAGATTCAAAACAGAGTGTTCCAGATTCAAAACAGAGTGTTCCAGATTCAAAAAATTCAAAAAGAAATGTTCGAGATTCAAAACAGAGTGTTGCGGATTCAAAAGAGAGTGTTCCAGAATTTTTAAAAAGGACGGGATTTTTGGTTGACCCCCTTCCGCTGTCTATCAAACCAAACGGAGAATTTCTTATGTATCAAACCATAGTTCTTTCATTGGTTCATAAGAGTAAAGAAATTCTTAATCAAAAATACGTAAAACAACGAATAATTCGCGCTGAAGAGAACAATAATTGTGATCCGCTTCTTATTGAAAATATTTTATCATCTAGGCGTCGTAGAGAATTAAGAACTCTAATTTGTTTCAATTCAAACAAATGGAATGGCGTGGATGCAAATTCTCTAGTTTCCAACAAAAATCAAGTTTGGGAGGAAAGTAACCCTCGGCATAAGGATCCGAATAAATTGATTGAATTTTTTTCTTTGGCCTAATTATCGATTGGAAGATTTAGCTTGTATGAATCGTTATTGGTTTAATACTAATAATGGGAGTCGTTTCAGTATGTTAAGGATCCATATGTATTTACCATTGAAATTTAATTGGTGGAAATTTAATTGATAGTAGTACTATCTACCCTCTAGCAGGGTAGATGGTACCAGGTTAGATGAAAAGCAATGAATGGAAATATACCTTATTTTAATTTGTATCTAACTGAATCGAGGATACCATATATTTATTTAGATCTATATAGATACTTTCTCCCTCATCCAAAGAATATTAAGTTGAAATAATTCACTTTTATTTTATTAATGAACCCGAAAAGAGAGGGTTTTCTTTTGATTTGAATTGATAGACTTAGTTAGAAGAATTCTTTTTTAGCAATAAATGTCTTTCACATCCAGTGATAACCTGTAAATCATTTTAAATGGCAGTTCCAAAAAAAACGTATTTCGAAAGCCAAAAAGCGTATTCGTAAGAACATTTGGAAAAGAAAGACTATTGAGGTAAGATTAAAAGCTCTTTCATTAGCAAAATCTCTTTTAACGGGTAAGTTTACAAGTTTTTTTTACAAAAAAAATAAAAAAACATTGGATTCATTTCTGTCAAGTTGATTTCTTGTATAATATTTCTTCTTTTTTCTTATCATTTTCTTTCTTTATTTTTCGTTAGTTCGTTTTAGTTACTAATCAATTATTTCATATCTATGAAATAAATCTATAACTTAATTATAAAAAATTATTTTAAATGCATATTATATATCAATGAAGGGAGTTCATTTAGTTTATGATAAAAAACTTATCTCTTTCGACTATTTATAAAAACCAAAACCAACAAAACAGAGGTTCCGTTGAATTTCAAATATGGAATTTCACCAATAGAATACACCGGCTTACTTCCCACTTGAAATTGCATAAAAAAGACTATTTATCTCAAAAAGGTTTACGTAAAATTTTGGGGAAACGACAACGACTTTTAGCTTATTTATCAAAAAAAAATACATTGCGCTATAAAGAATTAATTGATAAATTGGAGATTAGAGAGACAAAAACTCATTCATTTTGAAGTTGTATAGCTTTTAGAACCTATTTTATACGTAAATTTTAGAACTACAGTCTGGGTACTGAAACAATTACAAAAGAATAGCTCAGGGTAGTGAATAGAAAGACATCATGTCCTTTTGTCTATTGATTCTTACTGTATAAATTTGAAGGGATTTTTTATTTAAAACTTTAAAACGGCAGATTTAGTTAATTCAAAAAAGAATCCTTTTTTACCCTATTAGGTAGTTTGCGTAGTTATAAAAAAAATGATAATATTAAAACATAAAAATTGATAATAATTTACCAAAAAACATAAAATAATTTTTTTTTTATTTTTAAAACCAATCCAGAAATCTAGTGATTAGAATTCTTCTGAAAATTCATTGAGTCATATAGTATCTAAAAACCAAGTATCTTCTAATTTTATATTGCATAAAAATAATATTTGGAGGATACTATATCGATAATTCATAAAATTTATAAATTTATTCGTTCAATGGCACATTCTGTAAAGATTTATGATACATGTATAGGATGTACTCAATGTGTTCGAGCCTGCCCCACCGATGTTTTAGAAATGATACCATGGGACGGATGTAAGGCTAAACAAATTGCTTCTGCTCCGAGAACAGAAGATTGCGTAGGCTGTAAGAGGTGTGAATCCGCTTGCCCAACAGATTTCTTGAGTGTTCGAGTTTATTTATGGCATGAAACAACTCGCAGTATGGGTCTCGCTTATTGATCTGGTCCAGAAAAGTATATTTGAATTCATTCTATTTTTATTGAAAACCCGTGCTCTAAAATAAAAATATTTCATATTTTGTAGCACGGGTTTCATAAATTTTTAGCTTTTCACGAAGTAAAAAATTAATGTCTTTTTTTTTTATTTATTCCAAAGATTCAAATATTAAAGAATAAAATCTTTTTTATGTTCGCGAAAATGAACCATAAGTATGTAGACCTAATCCAATTAAATTGACTCCAAAATAGCATATCCAAATAATAAGAAAACCTATAGATGCCACAATTGCCGAAGTAGCACCTTCAAAAGTTCTATTTCTTCGAGTATGTAAATAAATTGAAAACACTATCCAAGTAATAAAAGCCCAAGTCTCTTTTGGATCCCAACTCCAATAAGATCCCCACGCTTCGTTCGCCCACAAAGCCCCCGAAAGTATTCCTATGGTTAAAAAGATAAACCCTAAACTAATAACTCGATAACTCCAATAATCTAATTCTTTACTTAATTGAATCTTATAAAAATTGTTAGCCGAAAAAATATAATTCATTTGAAAAATATTTTCATTTTTTCTAAAGGTAATGACCATAAGTGCTACTGATAATAAGGAGCCACATATAAGAGCTGCGTAACCCACTATCATCATACTTACGTGCATTATTAACCACTGAGATTGAAGAGCGGGGACTAATATTGAATATTTCTTAATTTCTGTGAAAAGACCCGAAGTAGCAAAAGCCTGGATAGAAAAATCAATTGGGCTTATTATTGTACTTAATAATTTTGTATTTTTTTTTAAATAGGAAAGGCTATTAATAAGAGCAAAACTCCAGGAAAGAAAAAGCAAAGATTCCGATAAATCACTTAGTGGGAAATGGCCTGACGAAATCCAATGAGTAGCTAATAATCCTGTTATACATAAAAAAGTTATGAAAATGCACTTTTCTGATGAATTAGAAAGTTTTATGTTTTCATCGACGAAAAAGATTCTCAAATAAATTTTAATTAAAATTGAAACGAGTATTATTGAAAGTGAAATATTACTTAGTATATGTTCTAAGGTTGAAACTATCATAAAAATTATTAAAAAAAATAAAATAAGATTTTAACTCTGAATTAGATAAGAAAAAAAATGAAAAAGAACAAAAGATTACTCTTATTTTTTATGCCGCTACTCGGACTCGAACCGAGATGCGCTAGCACTGCTTCCTAAGAGCAGCGTGTCTACCAATTTCACCATAGCGGCATGTTATTTACTTTCACTCATATCTTTTACCCATTTATAGAATTTATCGAAACGGAAATTAGAGTGATGGGCGAACGACGGGAATTGAACCCGCGCATAGTGGATTCACAATCCACCGCCTTAATCCACTTGGCTACATCCGCCCCCAACTAAAATATGTTCTTTTCAAAAAGGAATCAATAAAGGAGCAATAACCACTTTCTTGTTCTAGACAAGAAGGCGGAATTGCTCCTTTATTCTATTTTAAATAGATTCCCTATCTATATACTAAGAGACAAAGTCTCTAGCCATTTGTAGCTATAACTTGGATAGCAGCTAGGTCTAGAGGGAAGTTGTGAGCATTACGTTCATGCATAACTTCCATACCTAGGTTAGCACGATTAATTATATCAGCCCAAGTATTAATTACCCGGCCCTGGCTATCAACTACGGATTGATTAAAATTGAACCCATTTAAATTGAATGCCATAGTGCTGATACCTAAAGCAGTGAACCAAATACCTACTACAGGCCAAGCAGCTAAAAAGAAGTGTAATGAACGAGAATTATTGAAACTAGCATATTGGAAAATTAATCGTCCAAAATAACCATGAGCGGCTACTATATTATAAGTTTCTTCCTCTTGGCCAAATCGGTAACCTTCATTAGCCGATTCATTTTCTGTGGTTTCCCTGATCAAACTAGAAGTTACCAAGGAACCATGCATAGCACTGAATAGGGAACCGCCAAATACACCAGCTACGCCTAACATATGAAATGGGTGCATAAGAATATTGTGCTCAGCCTGAAATACAATCATGAAATTGAAAGTCCCAGAGATTCCTAGGGGCATACCATCAGAAAAACTTCCCTGACCAATTGGATAGATTAAGAAAACTGCGGTAGCAGCTGCGACCGGAGCGGAGTATGCAACCGCAATCCAAGGGCGCATACCCAAACGAAAACTAAGTTCCCACTCACGCCCCATATAAGAAGCTACACCAAGTAAGAAGTGTAGAACAATTAGTTCATAAGGACCACCATTATATAACCATTCATCAATGGATGCCGCTTCCCATATTGGGTAAAAATGTAATCCTATAGCTGCAGAAGTTGGAATAATGCCACCTGAAATAATATTGTTTCCGTAAAGCAGAGATCCAGAAACAGGTTCACGAATACCATCAATATCTACTGGTGGAGCAGCAATGAAGGCAATAATAAATACAGAAGTTGCGGTCAATAAAGTCGGGATCATCAAAACACCAAACCATCCAATGTAAAGACGATTTTCAGTGCTAGTTATCCAATTACAGAAACGACCCCATAAGTTTTGGGTTTCGCGTCTCTCTAAAACTGCAGTCATGATCAATTCTTGGTTGATTTAATAATCAGGGACTCCCAAGCACACGAAATAAAAAAAAAATAGAAGAAATAAAGGCTTGTTATTCAACAGTATAACACGACTTAGATATTCGTGTCAACCAATAGAGCTATCTAATTTGATTCCGCTTTAAGTCAAGTGAATTTTCTCCATCTCATTTAAGCATGACGATTAGGTACTCATAATTACAATCCGGAACTAGTTAGTTCGAGTAAAGAATGTTTTTGTGAATAAGTGTTCTTATATATATAAATTATCTATTATCTATATAAATTTTAAAAAAGTGAGAACTAAGCTTACCCTTGAATTAGACTTTTGTAAAAATAAAAATTTTTGCATCTCTTCATAATTTGGTAAAAATTTGAATTTGACAATATACATGAATTTTTAAAAATTAATCTGCTCTTTGATACAAACAATATCAAAATACCAAATCCGCCTTTTATAAACTCGACTCCAATTTGAAGAAGCATTTGAAAACGTAAAATAAAAAATTTGTTCTTCCGATGTAAAAAATTCTTCTAAAAATTCCGAGCCCAAGCTTTGTAAAAAATCGCGTACAGTACTTTTGTGTTTCCGAGCTAGAGTTCGAGCACAAGAAAGCCTAAGTATATACTTTATTTGATACAAACTGGTTTTTTTGGAAGAACCACTATAATAATGAATAAAATTTCGGCATATCCGCCCAAACCTTTGAATAATCTCAGAATCTGAGAAGTCGATCCAACCCGGTTTACTAATGGGATTCCCAAGTATATTACAAAATTTAGCTTTAGCTAGGGATCCTAGGATAGGAATAATTGGAACAACAGTATCAAATTGATTAATAGCATTTTTTATTAAAAATGAATTATTTAACATTTGACTTCGTATTATTGAAGGGATTAATACAATACTTGAAAGATAATTCATAAATGAAAAAGAATGGATGGATAATTGATTTCTATTTATTCTTCCAGTATGGAACCAAATAGAAAAATAAGATTCCCAAAATTTTAAAATATAATAGTTCCATTTTGATATCAAAAGAAATGTTCCTTTTGATGCCATAATTGACTTTCCCCTATACCTACCATAATGCATTGAAAGATCCGGAGCCTTTAACAAACGGATACTTGCAGGAAAATCCTCTTCAAATACTTCTAAAAGGCATTTTATTTTTCCATAGAAAATATTCCGTTCCAAAAGTGCTCGAAAACTGATTGCTTTGAAATGAAGAGACTGGTTGCGGAGAAAGACAAAAACGGATTCATATTCATATAAATAAGAGTTATATAATAAGAAGAAAAGCCGCTCAGGTCTTTTTGTAAAAAGGTAATGGGACCTATTGGGATTATTCAAATTTTGAAAATTATAAAACTCATATAGAAAGAAGCGTAATAAATGTAAAGAAGAAGCCTCTTTTACCCAATACCGAATTATTTGAACCACAATTTCCTGATGAGGGGGGGAGGGGATTAGTAGATCTAATACCAAATTTAAATGTGATAAATTGTCTTCAAAAAAGGGAAATATGGAATGAATTGACCGTAAATTATTACATTTTAAGAGTTTCGTTTTTTTGCGCTCTGATGATAT